TGAGGAGGTAATTGTCTGCAAGTCAAAGAGAGGCCTGAGATAAAACCAAGCCTGCATAAAAGCACCTGAATCTTGAACTTACAGCCTCCAGAAAATGAGTTTCTGTTGCTTAAGCTGCCCAGTCTATGGCATTTTGTTATGACAGCCCCAGAGTATTGATACAGCAGAGTTGTCAGGGCCCATGCAGTCCTGGGAATATTGATATTTGAGGAAATGTTTTCTTTGCAGAGACAATTAACAAAAAGAGTTGCATAATTTGGATACTCTTCCTCCAGATACAACATGGAGATCCACTCAAAAGTAACATCTTTGCTAAGGAGCCCAGAAATGTTCCCTCATTTTTGCTGTCTTCAGTCATCAGGTTTCTTAAGTCTGAGGCAACCATACTGAGCAAAGCAATGTTGAGCTTCCTCCTGGCTTTCAGAGGTTGAGACTGACGGTAGCCGAGCGGCCCAGTTAGGGGTGCAAGTCCTGCCTTAACCATCAGCCGTGACTGACTTGGTTAGTGAGTCATATTAGGCTGAAAGGGGCCATCTTAAGGAATCTTTCAATATTTGATGGGTAAAATTAAAAGAGAAAAGACAAATATGCTTTCAGGAAAGGGGAGATGGAAACAAATCGTCTAGGGGTTTTGATGGTCCTCCGAGGAAAATGTCATGTTGCTCGGGCTCTATCAATGAGAAACTGTGGCTTGAGAAAAACGCGTTGACCGTTATCTTTCTGTTGGGAAAGATCAAATTTAATATTCTACTAAAATGTACATATTATTTTACTTGCTGTTTTATTTTAAAACAGTCATTCCAGGCCATCATGCATTTTCCTGAGAACTCAAAAGAACATTAAAGCCATTTGCACAGGGTTTTCCTAATTACATCCTTATGGGGTGTCAGGCAAGCAAAGGCAGCACTTCTCCTTCAGGATGAAATATCTGTATGAGGAAAAGGAAGGGATTTTGATACCATAAATACTTTTGACTTAATATGATGCCATCAAACACCATTTGAGGATTGCCACCATGAGGGAAAGGATGGTTGCCAGCACTGGTAGAAGTGAACTATTTCAATATCTTTAGATCCTATGGCTCCAAGGAGTGGCAAAGAAACAACCTCAATATAAGGAGAAAACCACAAGTCTCTAATTCTTTTAAAAATGTTTTATGTTTGACATAGAAACTCTGACCATTTATCAAGAAAGGGAGTCTACTCCTGAGGACAGGACTGGTCTAGTGAGTGAAGGGAAACCCCTGGTCCCCAAATCACAATTCTGACGTGTTCCAGAATTTCTAGTTATATCAAATTTGCTAGGCTTTGGTACCTTTCAGTCCTTAAAGTGTTAAGATATATGATAAAAAACCCTCTGAAGTGTTCCAGAAGTTCTCATTATATCAGATGATATATTTAATGAAAATATGTATGACTTGATAAACACTTATGACCATATATTGGCAAATGGAGGACTAAGAAAGCTGTGTATAAGGCACATAGTTACAGTTATCAAAGTTTATGAACATACACGGAATTGAATATTACTCCTGAAGCAGAAGTAAGATGCTTTTTTTTTTTTTTGCCAGTGAGTTCTGTGTTGAACAAATGCTGCAGGAACAATGTGAGCATAAGGCTTTCTTTGTGTAACAGTTTGGACAAATGCTCGATTGTTCGGAAGAAGCCATCTGCATGGATCTGAAACCTTGTAGGATGCTCTGTTCCTATTTTCCACAAAGAAATGTCTACACTGCTGTGGCGGTGTTCCCTTACACACTGCTTCCGGCAGATGCATTTCCCCCGGTTGGGGGTGGGGGTGGGGGGATGAATCCTTAAACTGATATGCCTACCTGCAAGGGAGCCATGAGCTGTGCAGTGAAAAGCAGATCGCAGCCGTGGTAGACAGAATGTGCCCAGGGCTGTTTTTCTTCCCCAGATCCAGAACGTCCTTGACGCAGTGGTTTAACACATGGGAAATGATGGGAAATGTGAAGGGAACATGAGGGTCTGAGGATTTGTGAAGGGATACGGACCTTCCTAGTGCAGATATCCAAGTCTCAGTTCAAAGGCAGCTGTGCTCAGCTACGACTCGACAGCTCTGCATCCAGTGGGTGTCCTGCTGGAAAGAGGGCCATGGGCTGGGTTTCCTTGTCGGCAGCCGGGGAGCAGGAAAGCCAGCTAAGAGAATCACAGCTTCAGCTGGTGTTCAGGACAATTCAGACGCCTGAGGCCCTGCCCACTTTCTACCTCTGTGGACCGTTCCCCAGGGCTCTTCAGGTTCAAGCCATGCGCTGGGGAAACGTCCTGTGTCTTAGGGAGGGCTCTAATCCCGCCAGACCAAGAGGAAACCTTCCTCCAACTGGCTGAGAATTGAGCTGATGAACGAAGGGTTTGACTTCGTGTCTGAAATAATCACTCCACACCAGAGTCAAGTTGAGTGATTTCCGGTGTTTACCTCAGGTGAAACGTGGTGTGGTCCTTGGCGTAGACTCCTAAGCAGGATAGGTCCCATAAAGGTGACCTTGTTTGTAGAGTCTTCAGGCCCCTGGCACACTACTCAGGTCCTCATGACCTAGCGCTCAGTTTTGGGGAAACAGAGATCAGGAAAGGATTGGAGACATGGCTCAGGGATTAAGAGCATGTACTGCTCTTCCAGAGGACCCTATATTGGGTGTTTCAGATCTTCCTGCAACTCCAGCTCCGGGAGTGTCTGACTGCTCCTGTTTCCATTAATAAATTATTATTTTATTAATTAGAATAGTTAATTAATAAAATAAGAATATTAATAAAACAAAGAATTAATAAAATAAAAATTTAAAAACAAAACATAAAAACTTCCCCATCCTGGATAGTCAGTCAGATTAGGACCATGCCATGCCATTCATGCTCAGAGACAGGGAGCAATTTCATGATCCTCCTCAGTCAGAGAAAGTGATGAGAGAGGGACTTGCTTTCCATGACGCCCACTGAGAATCAACCTTTACCCAGGATGGCAGATGTGCTGGGGCTGGGGAGAGGCAACTGTGGCTGTGCAGAAAGAGGTGTTGGAGCTCTGCCCCATAGCTTTTTAGAAACTGGTTTCCCTGTGTATTAAAAGGGTACATTGCGTTAGGAGGTCGTGTGGGCTCTGATGCGTTTCCCAAGGCGCTATTTTTAAAGTACTATGGATTCATCAGAAGATCGGGGTTAGCAAAATAGGAATTACCGTGATTTATGTCATTAGTAGAAACTCCCCACGAATGGACAAAATTAGTTCTGTAAAAAACTGGGGATTGTTTATAGGAGTGAGGAAGCAAAGCCTGCAGTGGCATTTAAATGGATATTGCTTTGTAAAAATGCATCCTTGCCAAAAACTTCACAGAAAATGGCCAAAGTCCTAGGGGGAGGGGAGTGCAAGAAATGTGGGCATGGCCTTTTCTGTATACATTGTTGTAACATTTTATTTACTGCATCTGTTCCTTTTTTTCAACGGCTAAAAACAGACTTCCAAAACACTGTATCCTTAAATTTAGTTTATGGAGATAGCCATGCTGCTTCACAGAAAGAGTTTATTAGATTGCACTTACTACATTACCTAGAAAATAAGATATTTGCAACGCCTATAGATCCATTTCCTTCCCAAGACACACAAAACAAAAAAAATATAGATGGCTAGATGTGTCTTTTCCTTTAAATAAAAGGAGCGGAGACTGTAAATACAGAAGTGGCACATTGTATTGCCATCAAAGCAGAGTCTAAGGTGAGGATAAAAGTGCCATTTATCAGCCCCAGGGAGCTACAAGCCTGTGGATTTTCATGTCTTCAGTGTTACTGGAGTTTAGATAATTCCAGACTTTGATTCTTTATCTGAAAACTTCATTTTTGCAAAGCTTTTTTAGTAAAACCAGGAGTGGAATGTAGAAGGTACCAGAAGTCCAATGGGAAGCAGAGATAACTGAGTGAAGCGTTTGCGCATTCCTGACCTCCACAGGAGGCAGGAAGTGTTCAGAAGAGTCCCAGAGTGTCAAGACACTCATCACGTCCGCATGGCGAGCAATTTCTTTGTAGTTTCTTTAAAAAAAGTCTCTCTGGGTTAGGAATTCATTTCTGTGGTGTTAAAACAGAAGTTTAGGAGAAAAACGAAACACAAGTAGGGGTGATGATATCTGTATTTATTATATGCATTTCCATGTTAAAGGAATACATTTCTGTCTCTTTTAAAGACACAAGCAATATAACCAGATGTGGTGACTTCGTGGCGATTGCTTTCCTGTAAACCTAACTCTCAGCTGGCTGAAGCAGGGTCACACATTCAAGGCTGGGCTTGATCCTGCTGCACCCCCCAAAGCACGTGTTTGTCTTGGTAGAAATCAGTTGTGAGTGTGAGAGTGTGTGTGTGTGTGTGTGTGTGTGGTGGGGAGGTTGGCACTGAAGTAAATCTGAGAGTTATTGAGTTAGAAACACAGCACATCCCTCTCTGTTGTGAGATACTCTTTTTGCACACTGTGACAATGTGTTGCTGTTTTACCTTGGCTGCCTTTGTACCTTCTGATTGGTTTAATAAAGGGCTGAGGCAGGAGAGAATACGCAGGACTTCTGGACAGAGACAGGAACTCTGGGAAGAAGAGAGGCAGGACCTGCCAGACAGACACAGAAGAAGTGGGACACACAGTATTGAGCAGAAGTATCAAACCACGTGGCAGAAGGTAGATTAATTTAAATGGGTTAATTTCAGTTTTAAGAGCTAGCTGGCAACAAGCCTAAGCTAAGGCCAAGCTTTCACTCTTAAAAGAAGTCTTGGTGTCATTATTTGGGAGCTGACAGTCCAAAGACAGTCTAGCTATACCTCTGTCCCTTTCCAAAGGTTTTCAGAGATTGTCTGGGTTTTGAAGATTACTAGCAGAATGGAGAGGCAGGACAATGCTTGTGCACATGTATCCCCTTTGCTCTGTCTTATCTCATAAATGAGACCATCTAAGACAGATACTGTTTTCCCCAGGGTACGGCGACCAGATCATGCTACCTCAGAAATCAAGCAGCTTTACTTTGGAAAGGATTTTTTTTATTGTTGTTCCAAGTTGTCACCCAGCTGGCGATGGAAGAAAGCTGTGACAAATGAAAAGGAAGGTGGGAGAAAGCCCTGCTGGAAAGGGCTGAGAGCAGTTGACCATTTGCCTCAGCCCCTCCGCCATGCCTAACAGAGAAAGCTGCAGCTTTGTACGTGGAGTCCTAGTGTGTGGATTCTGGTGTGGCATGCAGGCATCCTGGGAGGAAATGGTGGGCAGAACCTCCGTGGTGAGGGCATTCCTACTTCTCACCCCCTCCACCTTGGCTCATGGCTTCTCTCCCTCGGCACATCGGAGGCTCCCAAAGCACCAGACTTCTCATTTGCAGCCCCATCACTCTGCTAATTACTCCTTCCCCATCTGTCTCCCTGCTCGATTAGAGACTCCGGGTGTGCAGGACCCTTCTCTCTTCTTCACTGCTGAACTCCTGGCATGCGGAACCTGCAAAGGAAGCCGTGAACAAGAGGTCCCGGGCCTTGAGCCACCCTCCCTCCCCACTGTGGACACCCTGGTGTCATAGCCAAGCTTACCCTCTTCAATCTCAGATCGGGTGCCTGGACTCCTCCTCAGGGACGTTTTGGACAGGCACAACAGCAGTCTTGGGTATCTAGTGGGTCTAGAAGGGAGGGGCAGAGCCACCACTGTAGAATTGGAATCGGACAATGGGGTCTCATTTTCCTGGCTGTAAAGTCAAGAGGCTTCACAGTGAGGTTCCCCAGAAAGAGAGTTTATCTGAGGGGCAGCAATGGTAGAGCTCAGGCAAAATCCTCACCGGAGCTTATTGCGTCATTTCTAGTGTTTTCCTGTTACTTCTCTAGAACCTTTAAGGGCGGAGAAAGAAGTTCCTTCTTATCATGGAGAAAGTTTCTTCTTAGACATAAAAAAAAGAAAGAAAAGAAAAAAGAAAAAGAAAGAAACAAGTGCAGGTTTTAGGGTAGTGACACGAGTCAACAGAATTTGGATACCCTGAGAAATGTCCTGGGTCCTCAGGATTTTTCCTTCTTGGTCACCAACAATTTGTAGATTCACACAGCATATCTAACTCATTCCCGACAGTGTGTTTAAAGTTCAGTTCATTAGGTGGAATACTCCAAGGCAAGTACATTTGTGTTTCTCTGGCAGTGCCTTAAGAGGAGAGGCCAACGAAACTGGATGGTTTGAATAAAATAAATAGAAACCACAGACAGAAATCTTTGCTATATGAAACCAAGTCATTCCTCTTAAAATTAGGCCAAATGCTAAATGCTTTCTGGAAATTAAAGTTCAGGGTTACTGCAGTGCAGAGAAGGCCAAGCAAATCTTCATGGATTAGCTGTAGCGAAAGTTCCTGGGAATCCATCAGAGCATCATTTGTTTTCCTTCATTCTTTTCTCTTAAGAATACAAGAATCATTCCAGGGGATCTAGAATGCACCTCACTAATACTAATAAGGAACAAACAAACAGAAAAAGGACTACAGAGTCAGTAGACAGGAATTCCATTAAAAAAAAAGAATTGACAATTACTTAGGAGTCAGGAAGCCAATTTTCCAATCAATACCTTGCTCAAGAAGGGTATCGTGTCGTGGTGTCGGAGTCGGAAGCATTATCAAGCTGCATTCACTTTGTGCTGTCCTTAAGTAGTCCTGGTCAATGCAGAAACGTCTGAGCAAGAAGAGACAGCAAAGAGTTACGCTAGCACCTCACTCTTTACACTCCAGTGGTCAAATTGTACACTAAAGCACAAAGCTGGGAAGCAGGCAATGGCTGCTTTTGCACTCACATTCACTTGGTCTGCATGTAACTCCTAAGGGCATCTCTACCCAAGCCTCGCCCCCTCTCCTAGGATAAACATCGTAACTATAAACAGGAGCAACCACAGAATGACGTCCCTTGTGTTCCACTCAGACTCTTGGTGGCATTGCAAAACACAATCTGAATGTTATTAAGGGGGAAGTGGGAAACAAAAAGAGATTTCAAGAAAATTGCATGAAGCGAATTTTTCATCATACCAGCTTCTTTTTAGAGTGTGCGCATTCGATGTCACCCACATGTGTACATCACAGAACAATCGCAGCCTAATCAGCCAAAGGGACAGGAGTAGATTTAATTTCAGAAAATGTAGCCCTGGTTTGTTGCACCATTGTTTTAGATAGACAAACTCTGCAAAGTGAACACCTTGCCCATATAATGGAACGGAGAGGAAAGAAACTAAATTTGTTTTTGCAATGTTTGGCCCTAAACCTTTCCCCATTTGTTTTAAATTACTAAGAAAAGTAAACATTTTGGCAAATCTTTCAGGGAGATTTATAGGTAGCCCTAAATGCAATCTACTTGGTGACTGACTCAATTTTAATTCCTTTGGTCCTTCCTTGCAGAAAGGGCCACACGGTTACCACTTGCCTGGTCAAAGGTTACACTTCCTGCCCTCCATCAACCTGGCTGGACATGTGAGTGTTTTTAGATGCTAGTCAGGTCACCAGCCAAGGGGATCACTCAAGCTAAGTATCTGATCAAGGGACTGCTGTAATGAGTGCAGTTAGCAGGTATGCAATTAGCTGGCTCTAGCCTTCGAAGGTTTAACGAAATGTGTTCTGGGTGTATTCCCACAGAAGGCCTAAGCTGGCCAAGACATGTGGAGTTAGAGGAGTGAATAGCCACCCTGCCTTTACAATTTTTTTTAGTCCCTGGGAATAGGGCCTAATGATAGAACACTTGCCTAGCATGTGCGAGACCCTTGGATTAATCCCACTATTGATTTTTGTCTTATAATTACCCATCCCTACTTTCTTTGCTTAGCTTTTCTCCTCCCCCCCTTCTCCTCCTTTGCCCTTCCTTCCTCTCTCCTCCTTCCCCCTCTCCTTTCTGTCCCTCAGTTATACAAAGGTTTCCTTTTCCCATCTCAGAGAGTTTGGAAATATGCTGTACCATGCTTGGATGGCTTCTCGTAGGTAGACATGTGCAAGGCTTTGCTCACTCGGGTCAGCATTAATGTCTGGGCCAGTATCGTGTAGGTTCCTTCCTTGATGTTTCTCCTACAGAGAATCTATACTGAGTGCTTTCAAAGAGCCAAATACCACCTCTTGTTTAGGACCTGTAAGTATTTCCTTGTCATCTTCAAGGAAACCACCGAATCACTGACTAGTAATTTGCCTATGGAGAAGTGGCAGAGACGGCATTTGAACCTGGATAGCTTACACTCTGTGCACTTGAATCAGAGCAAAACAATGCTGCCCTTCAAAGCTACGCTGGGACCTTGGAATCCTCTGGCTACTGTCTCTTTTAGAGCATCCCTCTCCTGCCCCTCAAAGATGAACATGTGGGACTTTATCACCACAGCTCAGTGCTGGAATCTACCATCCTAATTTACTGTCTCTTCAGCTCAGGGTGGCACTGATGCGGTACCTCAGGGGGGTGTTCATTCATTCGTCAGCCTGCCCAGTCCAGTTTCATGTTGCTCAACTGCAGAGACTGGTTCAAGATGTCCCCTGTTCAATCAAATCCAACCAGAGTTAATCTAAACACTTCCTGGTTTTGAAGCAAAGAGAAAAAGTGGTTATATTTGAACCTGGAGTTGCTGCACAGAGTCTGTGAAGTACGTTCACACTCAAAGAAAACCAAACAAGCCCTAGTGAGGAGTCAGAGAGACATGAGTGTGGGCATCCTTAAGAGCCACGCTTGACCTAAAGAGGATAAAAGCACCCACTACCCTATGCTCAGATACTGGTGATAAGAAATCAATTAGGATGGGCCAAAGACGGCCCTTCATATCCCCTGAATGATTAACAAGGATCCTAACCACTGGTCAGTAGATGTGGTAGGTACACGTCTTTTGATAGGGGAAACTGAGAAAGACACAGTTTGGCCTATGGAATAGGGAACGATGGGAGTGGGCTGCAGCCAGATTCCCACTATCTAATAGGCACAGAATGGGATACTGGCCTCACACTACATGGCCGATAAAGTCATAGAGAATTTGGAGGAGAGTCTTACCTAGCATGGCAGTTGGGGAAAATGTGGAAAAGATGAGTCACAGAACACGAAGATAGCCTTTCTAGCTCAGTTTCCCCAGGAGAGTGCTCAACATTTGGACTAGTCAGATTGGATCTTATCATCTTCCTTAGGGTCCAACCCTCAGGGTATGTCAGTATGGACTGAATGAATGAATGAACCAATGAGACTGACTGTACCCAGGATGTCTCAGAAGCAGGGCAGGATAATAGCTATTGATCAATGGCTGGAAGCTACAGAGTTCAAGACGATTCAGAATGGAGAAGAACCATTTTTCTTGACAAAAGTGAAGAAGTCATTAACTCTACGGGAGTTGTGGTTTCTTTTGTGGTGGGGCAGGTGGAAACAAAGCTAGGGTAGATGGGTCTCTTGACTCAATTAGACGGCATGCTTGTGCAGGGTCTTTGACTCTCTCAACAATCAATACTCATATTCTTAATGTTCCCTGGCTTCACCTCTCAGAGGCAAGCCACATGGGGACCCCATCCCAGGTGACTTGCCCTCACCACTTCTGGTTTGTGTGACAGCCATCTTGTATGCAATACCCCAGAGTTCCTCACAATGCTCCCTGCAATGTCTGTATTTGTCTGCAGACTTGCCTTTCCTATGAAAGGCACACATGTCCGTTGTCTCAACATTTCTTAATGCCTGAACATATTTCTTAAAACCTATACATATCAGCCAAACACAAGTCACCAGTGCTTTTTGACAGACTTGCTGATCTTTCACTAGAGGTTGACTCTCTCCCCATGTATATTCTGAAATAGAGAAACCATGTTTAACCTGCTCCCACCCCCCTTCCTGTTCTCCCCAGTGCAGGAAATTACTGTGGTGCTTGGAGTCCCTCCCCAGCAACCAGAACAACCTCTGGCTTCTGTACCTTCTGCAGGCTGATGGCTTCAGGTGCCAGGACTCTGCCTTGCTCCAGTGAACTCAGGAAATGGAATTCCTTTCTCAGCCTGGAGCCCCCAAATTTACATCTTTCTTCTTGCATTCCTTTGCATGGACTCTAAGTTAATTCTCTTAGGGTTCCTGTGCATTTAACTCTCCTTCTTGCTCGTGCCATTGTTCCCATTTAAGTACCCAAGGCAAATTCCCTAAGCTCGTTCCAGCATAGTCTTTTTTTCTTGTATAACAAAAAATTCAAGATAGTTTCTTTAAGCGAGTCTACACACACACACAGACACTCACACACACAGACACACAGACACAGACACAGACACACACACACACACACACACACACACACACACACACACACCACTCTTCTGTAGGCATTTTTTCCATGTATTTTTCTATTATAAATATGTCAGCTATTTCCTGAGTTTTCTGCGGTAAACCTTCACTTTCTGTTTCCCTACTTTGCCTTGGGGAGAGGGAATGATGCTTCACTAGGGAGAAGGATAGTGCTGTGAAATACCAGGTTTTCCATTTCTCTCCTCCTTGGAGGAATAGAGCCACTTGGCACAAGGACATCTTGAGATGCTGCCAAGAAACTGCTCTCCTATAAATCAGTTCATTAGGTCCTTAATTTCTGTGGCATTTATCTGTCTGGCTTTATTGTAAACCTTTTGAAAGTGGGAACTGGTTTTTCCTCTCATTTCTCTCTCACACTCTAGGCTAACTTTGGAACTGGGTTCTCGGTATGCAGGGAGTCCCCCCACATATGGAGTTCTTGTATTATTAGTTCTATATTTGCTTGTTGAAATTAATATTTCAAAATGAAGGCATGTTAAGAGCGATTTTATGGCCATCTATGAAATATGTTTGTATACTTACTATAATTATGTAGGATAGTTTTGGTCACAAATATCAGAAAATCTCACATAATGCAACATAAACAATTAGTCTGTCATTCCTAAGAACTACAGTTGGCCCCTAGGTGTACCCTTTCACTCTTGATTTAGGTTTTCATGGTTTCGTATGTGGTCTCCTGTAAGAACTGTTGGATGGTGGTCAAGCACACAGGTCATCTCAAGCTTCCTGGCTCAAGACTGTGCAGACTCACTACCTTATGGTTTTGTAGGTTTAACACCACAGGGCTGTGCACCTTCTGGGAGCTTTGTTGCAAATGGTTCTCCTTGCGTTTTGTGACCTTAAAAACAAAACTGAAGAACAAAAATCTTTTTTGAGATAGCTCACACATCAGAATTCACCTTACTCACACAATTCAATGTTTTTGTTGTGTTCTCAAGAGTTGTGCAGACATCAGCAACTTTAGAATATTTTCACCATGAAGGAAAGTCAACTTACTTGTCATTCACTCTTTTCCCTCTTGACCTTTACCCCGACCCTTCTTAGCCAGGCAGTTACCTTCATCTGTATCTCCATGCTTGCTTGGTCTTTCTCCTTCCCATACAGTAGTAATTCCATACCATCTGATTAAGTCTCCCACCCACTCTTCTTAACCTACCAGCCCTCTGGTACCCATCGTTTTACTCTCATAGTATAGGATCAGCTATTTCAGATTATGAGCTCATGAAGTTTGTCACCTATCTTATGTCCCTTAATGCAGTGGTTGCCAACAGGTGGGTTGATAGCCCCAGGGACAGGTCAAAAGACCTTTTCACATGGGTCGCCTGAGACCATAGGAAAACACAGATATTTACATTATGATTCATAACAGTAGCATAACTGCAGTTATGAAGTAATCATTTTGTTGTTCCCACAACATTGAGGAACTATATTAAAGGGTCTCAGAATTAAGAAGGTTGAAAAGCCTTAATGCAAAGCTCTCTAGGTTCAACTGCACTGTAACAAGAGACAGAATTTTGTTCTTTTCTTATGACTGAATAGTATTCCAATGTATATATATATATATATATC